TTTTGTTGCTTTTTGAAATTAAATTCTTTTCCCCCCTCCTCTTCCTCCCCCTTTTTGTTTTGATTAACCTTTTTTACCTTTCGTTTCCTTTTATTTTTGTCCTTTTTTAAATTCTTTTTTTTATTTTTTTATTTTTTTAAAGGATTTAAAAATTTTCTCTCTTTCTCTCTCTCCTCGATTTGTGTGAACTTGTTTATAATTATTATTATTTTTGTTGTTTTTAAACGGCATCAAATTTTTCATGTTTTTCCTTTGTTTTCCTTTGTTTTGTTTTTCACCCTCTCGTCGCGTCGGCCATTTTTTTTTTTTTTTTTTTATTCCGATGATTGATTAATCGGATTTTTATTATTTTAACGATAATCGTTTTATCCTCGAATGTTTTTCCCCCCCTACTTCTCTCTCACTCTCACTCATTCTTTTGTTCTATTCATCTTATCCGACACATTTCGTACGCCATTTTTTATTTTATTTTCGTCTGCTTTTTCTTTTCTCTCTCTCTCTCTCTCTCTCTCTCTCTCTCTCTCTCGCGTGCGTGTGGTACTACAAAAAAAGGAAAGTTTTATTTAATATTGCTTTTTATTATTTTACTTATATTTTTCAATTTACCTTATATTCTTTTTTTTTCCTTTTCTTTTTTTTCTTCCTTTTTCTTTCTTCCTTCTTTTTCTTTTCCTTTTATTTTTTTCAAAGGAATTTTACGACTAAAGTTTTTTTTTTTTTTTTTTTTTTTTTTTTTTTTGAATACAATAGAAAAAGAAAAAGAAGAAAAAATTTTTTTCTTTTCTTTAAAATATTTTTATCAAATTTTATTTTATTTTCGAATTCTAGAAGAATCGAAGAAAGTTCTAGAATTTTCCTTGTATCGTGTTAATAAATACGGTGGTGGTGGTGGTGGTGATGGGGGGGTGGCAATGACGTCACAACGATCGGAAAAAACAAAACGACGGACAAACGTAGTTTTAAAAAAAAATAAAAAATAAAGGAAAACATTCGAAATTATTTTTTTTTTCCGTGCCGCCATTTTTTTTTCTACGTCTTCTGCTTTTATTTTTTTTGTGTCGTTATAAAAACGGATATATAATAATTTTTTTTTAATAATTGTTAAATTTATTAATATTATTATTATTATTTCTTTACTAGAAAATCTTCAAAGACGTTATTATAAGCTCATTAGTTATATAATTCTCTCTTTCTCTCTTTCTCTGAGTGTTTCAATCAATCAATCAATCATTCTTAAGGGAATGAATTAGAAATTTTTTTGATGTTGGTTTTTATTATTATTGCGTAACCGTAAAAACGTGAGAAAGGTGAAAATTCCAAAATCCGATTATTACTTATCAAAAATTTATTCCTCGATTTATAATTATAAGGATTAAATATAATTTGTGTGTGTGTGTGTGTTTGCGTTTGTTTGTTTGTCGTGTAATAATAAAGAGTGAGAGTGAATCGGTTGTTTGTTTACGTCACGAAATTTGAGAATTTTTTTTGTTTAAAGAAGCGAAAATAAGAGCAGCAGATTGGCGAAAATTATTTTTCGTATGTTTATTCTTAAATTTTTTTGTCGCGTGAGTGTATGCTGGTTGTTGTGGTAGTTGTTATTGTTGTTGTTGTTTTTGTTGTGATTGTTGTTGTTGTTGTTGTTGTTTGTACACCTTTGAATAATTAAATAAATTAAAAAATTTTTTAGAAACGAATTATTTATTTAAAACAAACAAACAAAATAAAATTATTATTATTATTATTTTTTTTTTTCGCCTACGATTTCCGGTTCTGGAACAAGAAACTGGAATTCCAGTTTTCTTTTTCCAGTTTTTTTTATATAAAACTTTTCAAACGTAATAACGTATTTTTTTAAAGTTTTTTGATCGAAATTTTTCTTTTTTTTGTTTGTTTGTTTGTAGGATGATGCGAAATTTTTTTTTTTTATTTTTTTCCGAAGCTTTTTACGTGATTGAATGAAGAAAAAAAAAAAAAAAACGTAAAATATTTTTCCAGTTTTAAAAATTGAAGTTTTTCTCCCCTCTCCTTCCCTTCCATCCCATCCCATCTCTTCCCTCTTTTTCCCCCCAGTCCCGTTTCCTTTTCTAAAATGTTCCTCTTCCACTTTAATCGAGGTTGACCGAATTTGAAAAAAAAAAAAAAAAATGGCGAATTTATTCCGTAACGATGATCTCTCTCTCTCGTTGTTGTTGTTGTTGTCTTCCTCTTATTTTTCTTTTTTTTAAATAATCATCGTCTCTCTCTCTCTCTCTTATCATTATACATTTGTTTGTTTGTTTGTTTTCGTTTTTCGACCCGTCTCTTAAATCGTAAACAATCCGAAAACGACGACGACGACGACGACGACCTCGCGTGGAATAAAAAGGTTAATTTTTTTCATAATTGGATCGTAGCTTATAATAATAATAATAATAATTCGATGCGATTCCTGCCGCTTGAGGGGGGTCGAAGGGGAGAGAGGGGAGCAAAAGAAAAAAATAGGAAAATTCAATGGAGAAAAAAAAAACCGTTTTTCCATTTTTAATCGCGATAAGATAAATTTAAAATCTTGGAAAAACGTCAGTAAAATTTACGATTTGGAAAAAAAAAAAAAAACATCAAAATCGGGAAAAAGTAGGAGGAGTAAGAGGAGGAAGACGGGAGGAGTGGAAAGGGGAAGGTGGGGGGAAAGGAAAAAGAAGGAATTTAAAAAAAAAAAAGGCATAAACTACTCTCAAAAAGAAAAAGCATTAAATCAATATTTGAATGTGATTTTGAATGTTAATATTCAATAATAATAATAATAATAGTAATAATAAATTTTTAAAAATTTAATGTTCGATTATTATTATTATTATTATTATTATTGTCGTCGTCGTCGTCATTGTTGTCTTTGTTGTTGTTGTTGTTGTTATTATTATTATTATTAAATTTTTTTCTTTATTCGATGGAAAATATATATATATATATACACGTCATGAGACTTATTTTCTTTTTTCGTTCAACAAAGGAAAAAAAAAGGAAAAAAGGATAAAAGGAAGGAAGGAGGTTAATATAAGAAAAACTATTCGAATAGAAATATGGGGGAAAAAAATAGTAGTAATAATAATAATAATAATATATAATTGGTTATCGGTATTGATAATTCGTAAGATCATTGCTAGGCAACCATCTTTTATAAAATCAAGTCACGTGATAATTCCACCTGATGATTATTTTCCATAGGTTATGTAATAATAATAATAATAATAATAATAATAATAATAATAAGCCAACGGCCATAGCGTGCTGGTCACACCGGTTCCCGTACGATCACCGAAGTTAAGCAGCATCGGGCGTGGTGCAAACTTGGATGGGTGACCGTTTGAGAACACCACGTGCTGTTGGCTTAAAAAAGAGCAAAAAAATGAGAACAAGACAAAGTAAGAACCAAAAACAAAATCTTGTTCTACTGTCGACCTGAGGCAGCTCGACGAGAACGTGAATTTCACTGCTTCTGACCCTGGCCACTCCAAAGATGTTAGTCACCGGAGCCCAGTTCAGGAGACAAATCGTTCCCATCGAAAAAGACGGACTCAGGAAGACCTTCAAGAATTGATGTGGTGCTATCTTATAATAAGTGGCACCACCGAAATTCGAGTATTTGTCCCTAAGGAATCGGGTAGAAACCTCGGATAAATACTTAAAAAAAAAAAAAAAAAAAAACTCCGACAAGTAGCCTTGTCGTGTTTAATGGTGGATAATAATAATAATAACTGGAATAATAATAATAATGATTCACCTGTCCTCTGTGTGTCTGTGTGTTCATCCATGTTTTCGTTTTTCATTCTCTCTCTCTCTCTTTCGCGTTCGATTTCTCATTCACACATTTTTCCTTCTCTCGTTTAATTGAGTTTAACAAAAAAAAAGTGTTTCCCTCCCCTCTCTCTCTTTCTCTCCCCGTTTCTTTTTTTTTATTTTTCATCTCTCTCTCTCTCTCTCTCTCTCTTTATTCCTGCATTCATACATATTGCTTCTCTCGTTCAATTGGATTTAAAAAAAAAAAAAATTTTGTGTGCCTTTCTTTTCGCACCCCATATCTCTCTCTCTCTTTTTTTTCTTATATTTAATACCTTTCACTCTCTTTTTCTCTTTGATTTCTCATTTTTCACATCTCTCTCTCTCTCTCTCTCACTCGTTTTTATCATTCAAACATTTTCCTTTTCTCGTTCGATTGGTTTTATTAAAAAAAAAAAAAAGTGTCTTTCATTTGTCTGTCTCTCTCTCTCTTTCTTTCTCTCTCTCTCTTTTGTTTGGCATGATTCTATTCATAAAAAAAAAAAAAAACGATTCGATATTAAAAACAATTTCGAAAACTGTCGAAAACTCGCGACGGAAAACAAAAAAAAAAACAAATCAAAACAAAACAAATATTTTTAATTAACTTAATGGCAAAAAAAAATTATTTTTTTTTTGTCGTGGTCGTGGAAGAAGATAATGCGAGAGAGTGAAAAAAAAGACACAGAGAGAGAGAGAAAGAGAGATAAAAAGAGAGAGTGGGATGTGCGTGTGCGTGTATGTGGGAATCGAGGAAAAATAATTAAAAAAAAAAAAAAAAAAGAATAAAAATAACAAAATCCGACTTATTTATTTATTATTATCATCATCATCATTATTATTATTATTATCATTATTATCATGATTATTATTATTTAAATTAATTAAAATTCTAAATAAAAAAAAAAAACAAAACAAAACGCGCGCAAATTGTATACATTCTCATTTCGCACGCGTTTTTTTTTTTTTTTAAGTTGTTTTTGTTTGTCTGTTTGTTTGTTTGTTTGTTTGTTTGTTTGTTTTTACGCGGGACTCGAATGATTTTATTATTTGTTGTTGTTTTTTTTTTTTTTTCGTCATTGTTTATCAAAAATGATAATAATAATTTTGCAAAAGACAAAATAAAAAAAAAAACCATTATGTAAATTAATTTAAATAAAAAAAAAGAAAAAGGAAAAAAGGAAAAGGAAAAAAAGGAAAATTATTTAAAAAACACCTTTTTCGTGGAAAAAATCAAAGGCACGTAAAAGTGTTTTTCTCAGCGATTCGTTTTTATACAAAGTCAATAATTTTCCTTTGTTTCCTTTTAATATTTCATCCAGAGTAAGAGCATTTTCCTTTTCCACGCACATGTGAGGGTAAACGGCGCAAATGGCAACCATACCCCAAAGGTATAAACTTTCGAATTCTTTTTTCATCGTGACGTAATCGTAGGACACGTGATCTTTTATTTTTAATTTGTCTACTGCTTCCGAAAAATATTTGTGATAAATTTTTAGAAATTGTTCGATACGTTCGAATTTCAGATCGTTACGAATGCTCGTGAATATGAAATAATGTAAATCGACCATTGGAGAATTGAATGAAACCAATTGAAAATCTACAAACATGATATCGGTGGGTTTTTTTCCACTTCCGGTTGTGTCGTCATCATCATCATATTTAAACATGATGTTATTGACCCAGGGATCACCGTGATTGAGTACTTTTAATTTGAAATTATCATCATCATCCGTGAGTAAATTTAAAAAATCTTCTACCACGTTTTTTTTTAAATTTTTTAATTTTTCCGAATATCCGCGTGTTTTTTCACCGCCATCGCCATTTTCGTTTGTCCAATTTATGACGTCATCTGATAAAACGTCAAAAGGCGCACCGACGAATTCCCTAACGAAATTTATATTCTTATTAGAATAAAATGAATTTCGATAGATTTTCGTGGAAGAAACGTTTGGGGAAAGTGAAAGTGATGCCACGTGAAATTTCGCAAGAGTTTTTAAAACTAATTCCACGTGATTCATGTCGAGACCTGTGATTCTATCGGCGTTTTTGAAATTTTTTTCTTTTAAATCTTCCATTATTAGAAAATGATTGGATGGAGTTTGATCGTGGTAGTAGCAACGAGCTCCGAATTTTGTGTCGTGAGGATAACCTTTGACCAATATGTCGTTCATCATGGGTAGAGTTTCCGTGAGCATTTTGATTTCCTTTTCGAAAAACATGAAATTTTCCAAATGTTCTTTTCCGTCACTCCCCGGTAAGGATTTCACGACGATGTTTAAATTTTCACGTACGGCGACGTCATCGTTGACGTCATCGTATGTCGTCGTGAGACGACATCGAAACATTTGACTCGCGTAATTTTCACCCTTCCCCGTCGCGGACTCGATGGACGCGTTTATTATTTTAAAATTTTTCCTTTTATTTTCTAATTTTAATCCTTTTCGAAGAGAATTTTCTAGAAATTCTTTATTTAACCACGATGGTATTACGTCACAATCGTAGATTTCTTTTGTTGAATCTTCTTTCATTTTTTTTCTTGACGAGTGTTTAAAAAAAAAAAAAAAAAAAAAAATTAAATTGCGGTAATAATAATAATAATTTTTTCAAGTTTAAATGAATACTTACTTAAATAAGAGTTAAAAATCGTGGTTTTAGACAAAGTTTTTTTTTTTTTTTGCGGTTCTGTTTGAAGTCAAGTCTAGAATGAAAATGAGTTTTTTTTTTTTGCGGAAAAGTTGAAGTGGGAAGAGTTGGGAAAACAATGAGAGTCAATGTCAGTGTCAGGTATATGATATATATATGAAAGGGAAAAATTTGGACGTGAGGGAGGACGAGAAGGGAAGAGGCGGAAAAGGGAGGGAAGGACAGAAGGGTCTCAGGTATAACGTGATAAATGATAACAATTATAAATATATAACTTGATAACGAGTTGAATTCATTTTATTATTATTATTATTCGTGGTTTTTTCCATTATTAAATATTTGTTTGCCGTCGTGGACGTCGACGTCGCCGCCGCTGCCACCGCCACGGTCGCCATTTTTTTGTTTTTTTCCATTGCAAAAACGCGGCGTTTATACACACGTGTAACAGGTTATACAGAGTTTCTCTCTCTCTCTCTCTGTATATGTGTGTGTGTGTGTGTGTGTGTCTCTCTCTCTCTGGGCATGTGTCTCTTTCTGCCTCTTTCTTTGTGTGTGGGTATCTCTCTCTCTTTCGGTGTGTCTGCTTCTTTCCCTCTCTCTCTCTCACTGTGTGAATATCTGTTTGTTTCTCATTCCTTCTCTTTCTTTTTGTATTGACTGTTTGTTTCTCTCTCTCTCTCTGTGTGTGTGTGTGTGTGTGTGTTTGTTTCTCTTTATCTCTTACTGAGCGTTTGTCCCTTTCTTTGTTTCTCTCTCTCCCTCTCTTCCTTAATTTTAAGTTTCAGTCATTTTTCGAGTCTTTTTTTTTTTTAATTTTATTTCACGAGATGTCGAAGCAAACATAAATCATTATTGACTGATTTTTTTTTTTTTTTTTTTACTATTATGACTTTTTCTTTTTCTTCTCCATTTTTTTTTATTTATTTTTTTCTGTCTCCCCTTTTTCCCTTTCAATCTTTCAGCCTTCTCTCCTTCTTCTCCTCCTCCTTATCTTCTTTTTGAATTGTTTTCATGAAATTTTATACGAGTGGATTTTATTATTATTATTATTATTTTTTTTTTTAAACTGTGAAGAGAAGAAATCAAACCGTAAAAATGTAAAGAGTAAATTTATCTCTCTCTCTCTCTCTCTCTCTCTTTCTCTCTCCTTTCTTCATTTTCCACGCTTTTCGATGAAATTTAATTTAATTAAATTCAATTGTAAATATAACTATCGTTCGGCTTCTTTTTTTTTTCTTTTTCCTTTCGGAGGGAAAATTCTACTGCCACGTTATTTTCATAATCCGTATAAAAGAAATAGAAATCGTTCGTGGCGGTGGCGGTGATGATGATGATGATGATGATGATGAAATGTATAAAATGAGAATTGATAAAAATAAAAAATGATTTTCTTTACTTCTAAGAAACGACGATAATGAAATCTCAGGTACTCACCGTGTCGGCGGTCGGATTTTTGAAAAGTTCAAAGGTTTCCTTTGACATACAAAGATTTGATTCGTTTTCTTCTCTTTTCATCTTTCTCTCCCCTCCTCCTCCTCCTCCACTTCCCTCTTCCCCCTCTCATTTTATTTTTCATCAAAAAGGGCTTCGGCAATTTTTCATGTTATTCCCTTTTTCCTTCCCTTATTTTCTTTTTCAATTCTTATTTTTTTTTTTTTTTTTTTTTCCTAAACAAATTTTGCCTTTTTAAGCTGTCGTCGTCATCGTCGTCTTCGTAGTCGTCACAGTAAAGCAATATTCAATTTCCGTCATGTTTTTTTTTGGGGGGAGGGAGGAAAGGAGGGAGGGGGGCAAGAAAAAGAAACGAAATGAAATTTGTTTATGTTTTATTTTATTTTTTTTTCCTTTTTATTTCAGGCTCGGAAAAAAAGAAGAAGCAGAAGAAAATCATAAAGAAGGGAAAAACATTTTTTTTTCCATAGAGTAATAATATTATTATTATTATAAAACGACGGAGAGTGGAAAGTGGAAAAACCGAAACTGATCGACTACTATTTATTAAAAAAGGAAACGTGAGTAAACAATAATCTTTAAGATTTATGAATCGTGTCGTTTTTTTTGTTTAAATGATTCAGGACCGTATCGAGAATTATTCGTTATACTACTTTACCTTTCCCCCTTACCCCTCCCTCCCACTTTTCCTGCCATTCAATTTTTTTCTAACCGTTTCCGTTTGTTCATTTTTTTTGGTGTCTGAGAGAAAATTTTTCAAAGTATAAAATTTAAAAATGAGGTGGGTACTTGAGAGGGAGGGGAAGGTACCGGAAGTAAAGGGGGAGGGGTGAAGGATAGTGAGAGGAAGGAGGTGGTCGGAAAGAAATGAGAAAAAATTTTTTTTCACATTTATTTATACAAATTATTTAATTTAAAAAAAAAAAAAAATTTCCTTTTTGTTACGCGTCACACTAATGACGTCATTACTTTTTTTTTTTTTTACTACGACTATTATTATTATTATTACACTACGACAGGAACAACAGCGCCTTCGTTATTTCTTTTGTTTTCTTCTTTCCATCCATCCATCTATCTATCCTCTTCTCTTTTTCTTCTTCTTTTTCTTTTTTCAAAACATTTAAAAAATATTTTTATCATTTTATTTTTTATTTTGTGACGTAAAAGATTTATGCGTCATTTTTGTTTAAAAAAAAAATTTTTTTTTATGTCTTTATTATTATTATTATTATTATCATCATCGTGAATGAATTTTATTTCCACGTTTTTTTTTTTTTTTTTTACAAGTTTTATTTCTATAAGCGTACGATGTAATTTTGTTACATATTAAAATTAATGGGATTTAAGAGTTTATTCCATTATTTCCTTATATGGATTTATCATCGTCAAATCCGAAAATTATTTTACTCTGATGGCCACCGCCACCCCCACCACCCCTACCACCCCACCAACATCACCACCGTTATTACCGTCGTTTTATTTTCTATTAAATTCTTTCTCTCTCCCTCTCTCTTCCTAAGGGTGCGTGCGTGTGTGTGTGTCTGTTTCTTTTTTCCTCCCCGTGTGTGTGTGTGTGTGTGTGTGTCTGTTTCTTTTCACCTCTCCCTCTGGCTGTAAGTCTGTACTCCTGTCTCTCTCTCTCTTTCCGTGTTTGTGTGTGTGTCAGTCTCTCTCTCTCTCTCTCTGGGTGTAAGTCTGTATCTCTCTCTTTCTCTATATTTATGTGTGCTTGTTTCTTTCTCTCTCTCTCTTTGTGTGTGTGTGTGAGTGTGTATCTGTTTCTTCCTCTCTCAGTCTCTTTCTTATTGTTTCTGCTTCTCTCCCTCTCTTTGTATGTGTGTGTGTGTGTGTGTGTTTGTGTGTATTTGTATACTTTTCTCTCTCTTTCTTTCACTATCTGTGTGTCTGCCTCCTTCCATTCCTCTCTTTCTTTCTCTGTTAGTACGTGTGTTTCTCTCTCCATTTTCCCCTTTCTTTATTTCTTTTTTTCTTATTATTATTATTATTAACGTTTTGTTGTCGTCATGTACACATTCATTTTTTTAAATATTATTATTATTATTATTTTTTCATTTTGAATATATATATTGTAGTGTATCTGACGTAAACAAAGTCGAAAAGAGAAAAATCTATTATTCGAACGTCGGGATTACGTTTATCGAAATCGCTTTGGGACGGTTTGAAAAAAGAAGGGGAGAGAGGAGGAGAAAGAGAAAGAAGGAAGAGAGAGAGGGGGGGGGAAAACAGAAAAAGTTCGGTGATCGAGGTCGCGTTCTGACAGATTCTCTAAGGATGACGTTTTTTTTTTTTTTTTCTTCCTTTTTGTTCGAGTAAGAATGAACAACGCGATCGTAATATTACGAGAGAGAAAGAGAGAGAGAGAGAGAGAGAGAGAGTGGCAAGAGGGGGAGGAGAAGGGGGGAAAAAGAACAAGAGAGTCTTGATTAGTTCGTATCAATTAAAAACAATAGTTTAAGATTAACCGGAAATAATAATCGCGAACGCGGACGACAAAAACGAGGAAAATATAAAGAGGAAATGATAAATAAAAAAAACTTCACCGCCCGCTTGGAATATTTATTTCCGTTTTTGAAAATGTTTTTCCCTTACAATCGACCGAGTTTTTTACAAATGTTTGTTTTTTAACAAACGAAAACAAACGTTTGTTTGATTAAAAAAAAAAAAAAAAAAAAAACAAACTGGAGAGGGGAAAAAAAAGAAAAAAAAATGATTTTTGTTGTTTTTTTTTTTTTTAAAAAAAATTCTTCGATATTCGATTTCGATTAAATTCTTCTTAAGAGTTTTTTTTTTTTTTTCTCATTAATTTGATCCCGATTTTTTTTAAATCTGGAAAAGTTTCAGGATTTCGAACGTTACGCGTTTATATCCCGTTTTAGAAAATAATTCCAAAAAAAAATTGTACGTGTCGGGAGGGGAAGGAGTAGTGGTGGTGGCGGTGTAAGGATTCATTGGTAAAAAAAAAAAACAAAAAAAAAAAAAAAACATTTATCAGACCTGGAAAATATTTCATACGATTATTATTATTATTATTATTATTATTATTTTAATAAAAAAATTGATGACGTAAATTTGTGACGTTGTAGTGAAAAATAAATAAATAAATAAATAATTTTTTTTCATCTCCGGGGAGGGGGAAGAGAAAGAAAGAGAAAGATAAAGACGTGGAAAAATAAGAACGAGAAAGATGTTTGCGGAGACAAAGCGGGGGGAAGAGAGAGAGAGAGAGAGAGAGAGGAAGAAAGAGAGAAAAACAGACAAAAAAAAGAGAGATAGAGAAAAAGAGAAACGATAAGAGACAAAAAGACAGAGAGAGAGACAAAGAGAAAAGTACAAAATATAACAGCGAGAATGATATTCGCAGACACAAAGTTGGGGGAAAAGAGAGAAATAGAGAAAAATAGAGAAAAAAAGA